AAAGGGTATCATTTTTTTTTTACAGTTTTATAAGCATAGGTAAGTTTTACATGCAAATTTCTCAGTAAATAAATTCTTATTCATCTTCATTCAATCAACTCTAATTAAAGACAGTGGGTTAAAAAGGACATGTGTATGAGGCTTACTAGTTGGTAGGGAGAAAAGAGTCAGCCCAATTGAGAGGGGGATAAGAAAGAGTTATGAGTGGTCAATGGTATAGTAAAACAACATATACACATATAAAATTGTCTAAAAGTATATGAAAACAAGGAAATAAGTAATATTCCCATTAATACACACCTCTTTACATGTTTACAATAAACTATTCTTTAATGTACAGTCCTTTCTAGATTTTTCCCAAAATAATACATTTAAGTTACAAGTTTAGTGAAAAATTCATTGTGACAGAAGGAAATTTTCTTAAATTCAGCACTTAAGCACCATATTTCCCACATCATTAAACAGGGTTCTGTTTCTGAACATGGTAAGACCATTAGCAAATAGAATCCAAGGAAAACTTACAAAAATAGTGCAACCTAACTTTGAGAGCACATATAAGCATTATTAAACCCTGGAGGAGGAATTGAAAAAGTATGCAGAACTATGTCTTGGGATCTCAAGGGGGTCTAAAATTTCCCCCTTGGAGGACTAATAGTCAATCTCATAGACTCATGACATCTCAAAGAAATCTCTTTAAATTCCAGTAGCAGTCAAGGAAAAAATTTTGGATTATTGAATTTTCTATTATTCAAAGACCATGATGAATACAGCACTTGTAAAACAGAGACAGCATTCCCTAACCTCATTGCCAGACTTACTTTCCTTTCTCTTAGATGTAGAAACTGAATGCAAGCAGGGTATTTTGGTCACCACAGAATGGGCATTCTGCAATAGAGATTAAAAATGGCTATTACCAGAATTTTTCACACAACTGACACATGGTAAGTCATATAAGGTATAGTTTTTCACCTTTGTAGATGATTTTAAATTGTGATAAAGTGACTTAACATTTGAATGTCATGATCAAGCAAGTATGGATCTTTTGCTTCATAAATGTACTCTAAGAGAGTTTCATAAACTGTGGTGCTCAGATTCCTTACCTTAGTAGATTTGTTTGATGAAAGTTGGTGAAAACAAAACTAGATAAACTGATACACAAGGAGTCTGGAGAGCAGCACTTCATGTATAATAATGGTTCAAGTGCTTCAAGTGCTCAACAGGAGTTCTTAGAGTACAAAGTCCCGTGCTCTTCTGTTCCCTTCTGTTCCCTTCCCTTCCTTTCCTTCCTTCCATCCTTTCTAGGCAGTTCCTTTCCTTAATTCATTTTAAACATATGCTTCCAAATTTAATGAAATTGAACAAATTTTCAAGTTGAAACCAAATAATTTAGAAATGTAACATGAGTTTATTTTTCTATCATCTCTCCAATAACAGTTTTACTACATATGTACTCAATCTACTAGTTTACATACCTTTCTGAAGCTTACTTGAAAGGCAGTGTCAGTATCCCCTCTCCTTGTGTGAAGAATGTTGACATAGGAACATGATAAAATGAAGTGTTGATGTACCTTAAAAACTAGAGAGTAAATTTAAAATGTTCTATTTCTGCAAATACACACTAACATGTCATTGGTAACGAGAAGAAAGTTTAGAAATCATGACTCAAGTCACAGAGTCAAATATTCTGATTTAACCATGTCTACTTTAATTCACCTAAGCATTGGGGTTCTGCCTCAGAAGTCTCAGAAAAATTGGAGGTGATCTTTAGAGAGCACAGAGGCATACTTCTCAGGGCCACTCTTCATGGAGTGGCTCCATGACCACAACTCCAACTGTAAGGGACTCCATAGGAGACAAGGAATAGCTTCAGAATATCCAAATGAATGGTTATTGAAGAAAAGGCCATGGAATATTTTAGGGGAAATATGAAGAGAATGTGTTAGTCCCCATAGGAGAGTATGGATCTGAAATCAAAGATTGCATAGAGTTGGGTAAGAATTTGATTCCTCAGTATAGCATTTTATGAAACGATTGTAAGAATTTAACACTGTTTTATGTAAGATCCTATGTTATTTTGGCTTATTAGCTCTACTTTGGGTAAGCCGATCAATGGTCTGAAAAGTCTACCACCTTCTAAAGAACTTTAAAGGAAATTTGATTTTGTGTATTTTAATCTAGATGTCTAATTTTGAGTATTTTGATGTTAATAACAAGGTATTTTTTTGTTGCAACAATTTTCTCCTTTCTACTAAACATAGTATTAAAATACTTCCTTACATGTCCCCATATTACCAGTGTTTTATTTATAGTATAATGTGAAAGTAATTTGCAATAGTCTTACATAATCATTCTCATTATTAATCTTTTAGCTATTTCTAAGTTTTTAGTATTTTTAAAGATTGGCTGATTTTTATTTTATGTGTATAAATGAGTGGGAAGCACATATGTATACTATGTATATGCCTGGTACTCAAGGAGGTCATAAGAGAACTCTTGGAATTGGAGTTAAAGACCATTGTGATACACTATGTGGGTACTGGGAGTCAAACCCTGATTCTCTGCAAGAGTAAAAACAGTGCTATTAACCTCTGAGATAAATCTCCAAGCTAGTTTTCAATATTTTGACATATTCAAAGGTAAAATTTCCTTACATTATTTTATTTTCAGAATTAAATTTTGTGACTGGAGTTATATGCTTATGTTTCTATAATTATATTTTTAATATACTGACTAAAGAATTTGAAAAATAAAGGAGAATATCTTTTGCTAAGTATATTAAATGGATAATTTTATTAAATTAAGTTTTTTAATGTCATTTGAGGAGACATTTTTCTTTTTACTGATTCAATTTTTCATCTAAGTTTAAATGTTGAGACACCGTTTAAAATAACACCAACATTGGTATTCTTATGTTCTTTTTGATTTATAGTTCACATAATATGTTCATAAAGATCTATGGTAACATACGTTTGGAATCCTAGCACTTGGAGGTAAAGATAAGGGAATCAGAAGTTCAGAGTTATTCTAGGTTACATGATGAGTTTGAGGCTATCCTGGGCTATATCAGACCTTGTCAATCCCCCACCAAAACAGTGAACTATCATCTTGTCTTCCATGGACCAATACTTTGTTCTCATTCCTATTATACAGAATGCTTTTTTGCTAACTTACGTATATATTAATTATTCTTTGAGAATTTTTTACATGTATACAGTATATTCTAGTCATATCTATCTCTTGTCCTCAGCCCTCTAACTAGACCCAGACCCACTCAAAAGCAGAAAGTGAATGATTTTTATTAAATATCTGTTTCACAATTTGTTTGATCTAAGTTTAGATTAATGCACTTAAGATATTGTTGAAAGTTGTAGGATATCACACATATACTTTGTTAATATTGTCATGCTGCTTTATTATGCATGCATTAACAAGGATTATTACATAACTGTAGATATATTAATTTTAGCTATATAACAAAATTTACTTTATTTGGCCTATCTTACAACTCTGTAGAAGATAACTACCTTCTTGTAAATGTCCTGGCCCTCTGCCTCTTACAATTTTTCTGCCCTGCTTTCTTCAATACTCTCCGAGCTTTAGGTCTATTAATTATGCGATTCAATTGATGTAATTCAAACTGTAGTCTAAATTGAATCACAATTCTTTATACAGCAGACGGAGGCAACTAAAGAAATCCACAACTAGTCAGAATGTAGCAAACAACTGACTGTGGAGTGCCCGATTCAACCTGATACATCTCAACACAATCAGACTTGTGGATGTTTCACTGAAAATCTGGCAGTTGCTTTCCTGGGAAAATAATGGTGACATTTTGCTTAGCACTAGCAGCCATTTTACATAGAACAGGGTTATGAAGCTAAGATTTACTTAATTTTTAAATTAACATAAGACCTGTCTTCTTGGCAACACCCTGCTCAGTTTGGTTTTCTTTGTACAGAAAACCTATCTGATACATGAGTCCCTATGAGTGTGTATGAGGGATTCACACTGCACCATTGATTATTAAGAACACTAGACAGCCAGATGTAGTAGTGCATTTCTTTAATCCCAGAACTAAGGAGGCAGAGGCAAGTGGATCTCTGTGATTTTGAGACCAGCCTGGTCTACAGAGTGAGTTCTGAGACAGCCAGTGTTGTTACACAGAGAAACCCTGTCTTGAAATGCCACCACCACCACCAACAAAAAATCATTAGAAAGCACTGTGCACTGAAACCACCATAGCTTTTTAAAAATATATTCTTCTCTCATTCAATACATCCTGACAGAAGTTTCAACTCCCTCCTGTATTCCCAGCTCCCACTTCCCACACCACACACACTCCATATCTTACAGAATCCTGTCCAACTACAGTCACTGTAAGAAATGATGAGTTTGATTATGACATTTAGTGCATGGATGATGCCCTGTCATTTCCTTATTCATAGTAGTTCTTCAGCCATCTTGCTTCAGTTCTGAAGGACAACTGGTGAATTATATAGTGATCTCATTAGTCTATTATAAATGATGATTATACAGTGACCCTGTATGTTTCATTTTATATCACTGTTTTCTTAGCTTTAGTTTGGGAGTTTTTAAAGTGTTCATTCAGATGCTGGTGAAGAAGTGACCTAAGAGCATCAAGACAAATGCAGTAAATTTTATGCACCTTCTTGTGATAGATTTTTAAGATGTACAGTTGTATCTGATCATGTATGTGGCAATCAAAAATGCCTTATGTTTAGTTTTTTGTGCATACTCTTAAGCCTTTGACTCATATTCATATTTTAACTATGAACATACTCATATATACCAATATATGTACATGTATATATATATGTACATACTCACATACAAAGTTTTATTTTTCTGATACATTTTGGTTGTGTATACAGAAGATGCAGACATATTTTGATGTTGTGATTGCCTGTGACAATGAATCCTTGAGCTGGAATATTTATCTAGAGGATTCGTGGAAGCTCCTCCAGTTTGTAAGGCATTTGTGTTTTCCAATGAATTAATTACACCTATCATTGTAATGAAATGCTACCATGAATAACATTTCGACATTTTCAAATTTGTCCCTCCACATCATCCTTGGATATTAGCAGGTAGGTTGTTTACCAATATGTTTTGTAGTAAATTCATATAATTTCAAGCCATGTATTTTATAGGAGTATATTTACTCAAATGAGGTGGCATTGTATAAATGTCAAATAAGTAAGTCTCAGACTCTAGATCATCATCAATGAACTATTTCTTTTCTTCAGTTAATTGGTTTCTACAATTATCCTATGTAGGTGGTGAGTTCACTCTCTTCTGATTCTCCATCATTTACTGAAATTCTTTAAAGGAATATGTGTCATTCACACTCAGACAAATAATATAATGTGGTACCTTTATATAGAGAGGGAGACTGTTGCATGGACACTCCACAATGTCCATGTTTATTTCCTTATTGAGAAAATAAAGTCTCATTTGACCCTGTTGATCCTCAAAAAGGTTCAGTGTCTCTTAAAGTCCCAAGTTATGCTTCCTTATTTCTTTAAATGTATGGTCTCTAGTTAAGCTTTTGTATAAATGGCAACATTAATCTCTGACATTGATAAAGAGGTTGAGTTCTAAGTAGTGGCTTTTTGTATATTCTTTCACTTAGTTGTCATGAAAACATCATACTTATTCTGAAGTTCTGGTCACATTTTAAAATGATGAACTGAAAGTGAAATTTCAGCTTTTTCAATAGATATTTCATGGAGTGCTAAATATTTCCTGGAGACTTGTCTGTTTTATGAAGAATAGATTCATTCTTCTAAAGTTCTAGTCCACTTCATTCTTTGAAACACAATTTTCAATGTAGCCAAAAATTCAAAGTACATGCTAAAATACATTTCACCTATTCTTTTTTTTTTTTTGGTAGAAAAGGCAGTTCTGTGATCAGTCACTGCATACTGTACATCTGAGCTTCGTCCGTGCAGAAGGAGGGCATGAGCAATGAATTGTGGTCTTTGGTTTATAATTAGGATATGAACTTAAAATTTATTTCAATGTTTCAGTTTAAAAATCCATTAGAGTTTGACAATTAGTAGACAAATTATTTCTAGTCTATAACCCAATTAGATGTGTTCTTGCCCCAATATTTAAAATCTGGCTATTTCAAGTGTTCAATAATTAGTTTCTAACTCAATTCTATGTAATAATCACTATACCCTTCCAAATACATCTAATGTTCTGTTTTAATGGCAATAAAATAAATAAAGACAATTTCATATGAGGATGCACCAACTGGTTTGTGTTAATAGTATAATCTTGTAGGAAACACTTTTTTTTTTCACAATTACAGATTTGCGTGAATAGATTTTCTTTTCACTGTCTTTTTGAGGATCATGCAAAATCAGAGCTTTGTCACAGAGTTCTTACTCCTGGGGCTTTCACAGAATCCAAAGGTTCAGAAAATAGTATTTCTTGTATTTTTGTTGGTCTACATCGCAACTGTTGGGGGTAACATGATGATTGTGGTTACCATAATATGCAGCCCTGCACTGCTGGGCTCCCCCATGTACTTCTTCTTGGCATTCCTGTCCTTCCTGGATGCATGCACTTCCTCCGTCATCACACCAAAAATAACTGTGGATGTGCTTTATGAGAGGAGAACTATTTCCTTTGAAGGATGCATGACACAAGTCTTTGCTGTCCATTTCTTTACTGGAGTGGAGGTGATTATTTTGACATCCATGGCCTATGACCGCTATGTGGCCATTTGCAAACCCTTGCACTACACTTCTATCATGAACAGGAGGATTTGTGGCATTCTGGTGGGGGTAGCCTGGGCTGGGGGATTCTTGCATTCTCTCATACAAATTATCTTTATTTCGCAACTGCCTTTTTGTGGACCCAATGTCATCGATCACTTCTTATGTGACTTATTCCCATTAATGAAGATTGCCTGCACTGATACTCATAGGTTGGTCATTTTGGTGTTTGCAAACAGCGGATCTTTCTGCATTATCATCTTCTTCTTGTTGCTTGTTTCATATGGTGTCATCTTGTTCTCTCTGAGAGCTCATAGCTCTGATGGAAGACGCAAAGCTCTATCCACCTGTGGATCCCACATTACTGTTGTGGTTATGTTCTTTGTTCCATGCATAATAATATATGCAAGGCCTACATCTGCTTTCTTCTCTGAAAAAAATGTGTTTTTATTTGCCACTATCCTGACACCATTGCTAAATCCTATGATTTACACTTTTAGGAATAAAGAAATGAAAAATGCCATTAGGAAAATGTGGAAGAGATTGATAGTGGTTTATGGTATATCTTAAAATATTAAATTAGTACACTTGGTAGATGGCTCAGGTGGTAAGAATACTTCCTATGTGAGGAATAGGAACTGATTCAGATTCCTAGCAACATAGCAAAAGCCAGTGATATCATCACAACTCAAACCCCATGCTGGTGAAGTGGAGACAGTCAGGTTCCAGGAGCTAACTGGACAGATACTTTATAAAATAATCTAAATGTTGAGATAGAGACCTTATCTCAAGTAAATAAAGTAGTAAGGGTTATATGTGGACACTTAATTCTTTCCTTTCATATCTGCACACATGTATAGGGATATGTATATTCTCCTTTATTACTGGGCATGTGTGTGACTGTACATGCATGCACAAACACACACACATACACACATACACACACACACACACGCAGCAGGATTATATAACCGCATTTAGGCAAGTTATACATAAAGAACAAAGGAGTCCATATTTACTATGGTAAGAAATTAATGATTTGTTCATTCTTTTGAAAGGGACATCATCATTGTCTGGAGAATGTAATAATGATGAGGGTGGAAAATTGATCATACTTTTACTATGAATTGACTACTCAGTATTGCTGTATGAAAAATAAATCAGTTCAACTTTAATACTGTCATATATGTAAAGAAATATCAGAAGAGATTTAATTATGAGAATGTTTACCATTCAAACTATGTTTTAATAAAATATTTGTTGAAAAACATGTGTATGTGCTTGAAATTAGAAAAAAAGTCAAACTGAATAATATCTTTCCCTAAGACATTGTTATCATCAGAACCTAGAATTACAAATAAAAGGGAAAAAACAGAATCTGTAATGCCATTGGGAAATGTGGAAGAGATTTGAAGTGATTTTTGATAAAATTTAAAACATACTTAACAAAACTTAATGTACAATATAGAGATGTCAATATTTACTTAGATGCTTTATGATTTGCTCATTATGTAAAAAGATATGATGTAACTTATAGATGAAGTATTAATTTTGTGGGGGAGAAGATTATATCTTTAAGTGGGAAATCACATTTGCTCTTGTTGAATACTTAGTCTTTTCATATGGGTCAATTCAATTTTGTATTTTTATAAGTCTAATGAAGTACTGGAAAAGATTTAATATATCAGAATGCTTGTCATTCACACTATGCTTCATAAAACCTCCACTGAAAAAAATATTTACTAAAGTATGTAAAACTGTTCCTTGTATGATGAAGTCTCTGCTCAGAATTGTGAGACATCAGAACCTACAAAAACAAACAATAGAGCACAGCTATCAGCAAACTACGTACCTTGTTATCCTTTGACTTTATTAAACTGAGTCTATTACTGTCTATTAAATAATGAAAGTTATTTATTGGCGTTGTTTACAGATAAAATGTGATTAGCTAAGGCTTGCCTATGGTTGAGTTTCTCTTGGATCATGTGATTATCTCATTAAAATCAGATGACAGAGCAGATTCTATAGTAAAATACCCATGCACATCTCCTAATCTAGTACAATCTAAAGCAGACCTCAGGGTTCACTTTGTTAGCACTACCAGCCTTAGAATGTTGACATGGTGAGCCTACTTTTCCCACTCTGTACAGTAGCAATACATCCCAATGGAAAAAGCTTTCAACAGAATCTTTTCATTTTAATTTTTGTTGATTTTAATATTCTTCTTTTAAAATAAATTTACTTATTTTACATCTTGGCCAGGCTGCAGTTTCCCCTCCCTCCTCTCCTCCAAGTCCCTTCACCACCCTCCTCTGTTCTCACCCCCGTCCCTCCTCCTCTTCTTCTGGGACTATGTGACCTATGGAACACCACTTAAATAGGGGAATGAGGATTAAAAAAAGATAGAAAAAAATTGAGACATGAAAGAAAAGACAGAGACATAGGATAGAATTGGGAGGGCTCTCAGTGAATACTGCAGCAGCCCAGAATTTATTTCTCATAATATTTTTATACCCAAAGGAAGAGGGTTAAAGGATTTTCTTACCATGGTTCAAGGAACAAACAAGTGTAAACACCTCCTTAATTCTCAAAACATCTAATAACCACACCTTTGGCCAATCATCCTTTATTCAGCCTTGAAAAGCAATAACAAGCTTGAATTCTCTGACCTTAAATCAAAATGGAATCAAGCCACAAGCTGGAGTCACTGTGAGCTCCCACTCTCTTTCATTTTGAAGGGTTCATGTTTGGGGTGGATGCTCAGATCTCCCCAGGAAGGGGAAATTAATTTTAATATTCTTAATGATGATGATGTATATACAGTTGAACATAATTACATTCAAGCAATATCAATAGAAATCATTGAACTGTATTTCACTTCCTTAATTTTTTTAATGTTTAACAGTTTCTTACACTTATACATCGAATTTTAGTCACTTTTACATACTATCTTCCCCTTTCTTCCCTTTAACCCTCACTCAAATCCCCAACTAATTGCCCTCTTATTCTCACATCTCTCATATTGTTTTTTTCTGTGACTCACTGAGTATAAGCAGAGTTTCCTGCTAGAGTGTGATTAAGAAGTTATTTACAGGAGCAATTTATCAGTGACTACAACTATGAAGAAATTGACAGAACTCACCAGCAACTATTAACTATCAATAGTCTCTTAGAGAAGAGTAGGATGCCCCAAATGCATGACTTAGAGGCTCAATCTTATGCAGATCTTGTGAATATTTAGAAGGCAGTTTAAAAAGACCACTTAGCAAAACAACAGTAGCCAGTTTCCCTCTAGAGATTATGACCCTAAAACTGTGGTGACTTCTCATCCTTAGCTGCATTTCTGCATTAATTTTTGTTATATTATTGGTGTGTGTGTGTGTAAAGGCACTTGCTACCAAGCCTAATGACCTGTGTTTGATTCCCAGGACTCACATGGTAGAAAGAGATAGCTAACTTTCTCAAGCTGCCTTCTGACCGTCACCCTGGTTGCTATAGCTTGAATGTGCTAAATAAATGAGTGTAATTTTTAAAAAATTAAAAATTAATAACAAAAATAAAGCAACATAATATTAAATTAACAAAAGATGTCAAGGCAAAAGTGAAGATATGGAGATATATTTAGAGATTACCTAATTTTAGAAACAAAAAGATTTAAAATAGTAGGAAGAGAGAGGCAAGAATGTGACTTGGGTGTGATAATGTGGGAAGGTGTTCTGGGAAGAGGACATTTGGATTGCTTTTTCTTATCACAGTACATGTGTTTCAGGGAGGTTAGAGTACATGAATAGCCCCACCATGAGACATGGAATGATCAGGTAGTGAGATTCTCTGGATATATTGACGTGCTAGATAGGCATGGCTGGAAAATGGGTATGAAGAACTGCTGTGGATATTGCTATATGTAAATAAACCTGATTGGTCGATAGCCAGACAGGAAGTATAGGTGGGACTAACAGAGAGGAGAATTGAGGAAGGAGGAAGGAGAGGGGAGACTGCCTGGAGCTGCCGCCAGGAGAAGCAAGATGTAAGGTACCACGTGGCAAAGTATAGATTAATAGAAATGGGCTGAATATAAGAGTGAAATCAAGACAATGATAGGCCTGAGCTAATGGCCAAGCAGTTTAAATAATGTAAGAGTCTGTGTGTTTATTTTATAAGTGGGCTCTGGGACTGGCGGGACTTGGGAGCTGGAGAGAAATTCTACAGCTACACAGAACAATGAGGAGTATGGAAGCCAGAGGGACTTAGAAAGTCTTTTTCAACTGCTCAGCCACTGTACTTAGGGGTCATAGTCATCATTTTCTTATTTTTTGAATCATCATAATTTCATATGGCCAATTTTTCTTTTTAAATGTTAGAAAGAAAAAAAAGTAATGGATTTAAAAACTGAGGACAAGAGGAAACAAGTTAGGGTGAAGAGAAGCAGAACAGGATTTCAGTAAAGGCCTGTGAGGGCCTGTTTCAAGAATTCTAGAGCTAACCATTGATAATACTGGCATTTATGACATCTTAGCCTTATGTGTTGGTCTGCATGACCAAAAAACTTTTACGATGGGAAAAAAGTAAGATATTTTTTCTGCAAATGAAATGAGTGAAGATTTTATTTAGAATTTGAGTGCTCAATATTGTACAAAAAATAAAATATGAAAAATGGACATCTTACTGTTTAGTTAAGACATTTTACATGCCTAGTAATAGTAAGTCCTCCTGACTTTTCTGTAAGAGATTACAAGATGTCTGACTAGAGTTCCATCCTGTATTCCTAGCACATAAAGGCCAAAGAAGATGATTTTGAGGACAGTCTGGGCTATGCATAGGAAGAAATTTTCCCAATGAAAATAATAAAACAAATAAATCGAACAATTTATCACATCTAAATCCATATTCAATGTATCCTGAAAGATAAATATTTATTATGTTTCAGTAACCACATGTATACATCTCCTTATGTATATTTTATATTTTATTTTATTTAAATAATATTTTTTTCATTTATTTTACATATGGACTGAAGTTTGCCCCCATCCTCCCTTCTCTTCCCCCACCAACCTCTGCTTCCCATCTATTCTCCTCCTCTTCCACTTCTCCACCATCTCCATTCAGAAAGGACCAGTCCTCCCATGGACTTGAACAAAGCATGGCATATCAAGTACAAGCTCCTCTCCTTGTGTCATGGTTGGGCAAAGTAATCCAGCATAGGGAACAGGTTCCAAAAGCCAGTTAAGCACCAGGGACATGGCCTAATCTCACTGATAGGAACTTTACAAAGAGACCAAGCTACACAGCTGTCACACAAATGCAGAGGGCCTAGGTCTGTCCCATGCAGGCTCCCTAACTGTTGGTTCAGAGTCCATGAGTTCCCATGAGCTCAGGTCAGTTGTCTCTGTGAGTTCCCTGGTCACGACCTGCCTGACTCGTACAATTTCTCCTCCCATTCTTCAGCAAGGCTCCCAGAGCTCAGCTCAGTGCTTAACTATGGATCTCTGCATCTGCTTTCATCAGTTACTGGATAGAGTATCTCTGATGATAATTAGGGTAGTCACCAATCTGATTACCATAGATGGCCA